AAAAAAAAAAAAAAAAAAAAAAAGAAAAAAAAGGAGAAGAGGGAAGAAAAATGAGAGAGAAATAAAATAAGAAACACCACATTTCCCTTACCAGTTAAGAACTCCTCAAAGCTCACAGTAATGTAACCATCGCGGTCATCGTCATACCGCTTGAACACGTCCGTCATCCGTCTCAAGCTGATACACGCCTGCACAAACAGGTCGAAGCTCATTCCCATCTTTCCGGGGTGAGCAGGCCCACCATTCATTTGTCGTCCCTTGCTCTCAAATGTGGTGAAAAGCACCGTCACAAACGGCTGGCTTAGTCGGTATCCGAATGCGAGGAGTGCGTTCTCGAATTCCTGGAGGCTGATGCGCCCGCTACGGTCGACATCGAATCGGTCAAAAAGCTCCCGCCATGCGGCTAGGTAGCGCCATAGCGATACAAACTCGTCGAACGAGATCGTTCCACTGCTATTCCGGTCAAACATGCGGATCATCATCTTCACCGTCTTGGGGTGAAACGAGGTGAAATCACCATTCACCAGAGCGGAGCCCAGCTCCAACTCGGTCAGTGAACCAGTGTGGGATGAGTTGGCGGCGCGAAACAGCGGGAAGAGTTGTTGTGGATCGTCATCAGGGACAGCCAACGGAGGCGGGTTTGGAGACCGTGGGGGCCGAGATGAGGGCTGGGGCCGATTGCGCACAGGCTGGGAAGGGGGTGGCCCAAACCCATAGTTCTGTGGAGGTGGTGATGGGTGCAGTGGATGAGTCCGGTGTTGGTTTGCTGCTGGTGCGGGTAATGGCTTGTTCATGTGCGCACTCGTGACGGGAACTCGAGGTGGGACCCCACTAGAAGAGGGGTTCGGGGATGGTCGAGATGGTTTACTCTGATGGTGATGATGCTGAGGGCCGGTTTGCATGGCACCGATCATCTGAGCTACCTGGCGTTATTTCATCAGTTATGGAGGGGTCGATTAGGGAAACGAAAGCACTCGGTCGGTACCTGTTCGGGCTCTGCATGTCTGGTCCAATTTATGCAACATTAGCGATATACGGCGCATCCTGAAAATCATCATCTGCGACCTCAACTTACGCTGGCAACGCATCTGGATTGTAAGATTGATTGTACGCCATGGCGTTGTCTATTGGTGTCGACCCAGCTGACGTAACCGATGTTTGGTATGGATATAAGGAAATGAGGTTTGGGGGATGCTTGACGCGGGAAACGCGCTCTTTATAGCGATCGGACAAGCCACTCAACAAAGAAGGAAGAGGAATCAGGCAGAGATAAGAAAAGGATTTTGGTCAGGAGTTTCAGGAGGGAGTTAGTGTTTGCGTTAGCATATGCTTCTTCGTAGTCAAAAGCGGAGCGCGTGGGGCACTGGTTCGAAAAGCTGATTGCCAAGAGTCTTAATATGTTGAATCAAAGGGGGGGGCGATCAATATACGAATACGCGGTGGCAGAGAGAAGATCAACAAACTAAGGGGTAGGAAATTGGGCATCCAAATGGAATGAAATGAAGGTTTTCTAAGAGAAAGAATCGCTTCAGCCCTATCCCACCCTCTGATTCATTTGTTTATCCTGATTGAGTATGGCTCTCGGGTTCTCCTCAATTCCCGGTGGAGCTAATGTGAGTCTGTATCTATATTTATCTTTTTTCCACAGTACGTATTTATGGTTCGGTTAACTTGTTCCTTTGCCTAATTTAGTATTACATTATCCTTCATTCCCCAATTAACTCTTTGATTTCTGGAGACTGCTCTTGAAGAATCTCAATGATCTCTTTCCACGCCTTGGCCTGGAATTCCTTTCCTTCCGTTCCCGTTGTCAGCGCAGTGGATTCGCTGCACTTGTTAGCATGTAATAGTAAAATCCGACGGAAAACAGAAGAAAAATAAAAAGAAAGGAAAGGAGAATGAGAAGAAACATACTCCAAATACCCGTCACTCCTCCAGCATTTTCCGTGTGATTCTGCTCCCTGGTATGTGGCACTAACTAGCGACCGACTTCCTTGCTCTGCCGTGCGAGCAAAGAGCTTATAGAACAGCCAAACAACCCATCGCTCATAGAATCGATCATACTGCCGTCCAAGCGACGACACACACAGTCCCGGGCTTATCGTATTAACAATAACAGGGAGAGTTCCATTCTCATTCCGTACTCGATCAGCCACCGTCTTCAGAGCATACTCCAGCAGCAGCTTAGAGATGCCGTACTGCCTTGTCCCGCTAAAGTGTCGTGGATCATTCAGATGCTCCAATAGTGGCCCCTCCGTCCGGAGACTCGTAGCCTTGACTTGAACAAACTGCTGGCTGGAAACGACAGCAATATGCGCCGGATTCGAGTCAGATGAGTTATCTCTCAGCTTCGGAAGGAGCAGAAGCGCCAATAGAGAAGTGGACAACGCGTTAACCTGCAGTGTTTCTTCCCATCCCTCCGGGGATGCGGTATACACTTTATTGCAGAGACCTGCATTGAGGAGTGCGATGTCTAGCTGCTTGATTTCCTTTTGAATGCGACTCGCAAAGGTTTTGACGCTTTGGAAACTGTTCATGTCCAGCTCCCAGACTTGGATCACTCCCTGTCTGGTGGTGCGCTTTTCCAGCTCGGTTTTGGTTGCATTTCCTCGTTCTAGGCTGCGACTGCCGATTATTAGCGACTCCACGCCTAAACTCAGAAGCTTGATGGCAGCTTCAAAACCCAGGCCAGACGTGGCTCCAGTCAAGACGACGGTTTTGCCGGCAAAGGAGACTGTTGGGTCGACTGGGAGAGTATACTGTGTTCGGAGTAGGCGTAGTAAGCTGGCCATAGTAACTATATTTCCACGAACAAACAAAATATGATAAGCTGTGGATAGAGTTTGGAGTAGATGATTTATTGGATAGTTGAACGAAAGCAATGCCAAGTAATAAGCAGCTATTGAAGATTCCTAATCCTTATTAGGAAGGGTCCCACACAATTTAGATTACCTTGTAGTATGCTTTTTTTTCACGATTAAGACATTGATCAATAAGCAGGGGGTTTTAGTCGAACCTGAGGCAGCAAGAAGAGACGGAAGGATAATGTCGGGTGCAGCGGGGCATCAACTTGGAAGGCTATCCGAATTGATTGGTCCAATGTTGCATCAACTTTCCGCCATCCCACATTGATTGCGAGCAAACAGTACAAACACATGGGATGGATTGTAGCCGTCTCTTACATCAGCAGACCCACCCGCCATTCGGCGTGTTGGTCTGCCTCACCTCAACGCAAATTCCCACTTCAACGCAAAATTTGAAGC